TTAACACCTCATGTCTGTCCGCACTCCTCGTGCTTTTACTAAACATCACAGAAGACTTATCAAAGTTAATTGTCTGTCCCGAGCAATTCTCATATAGGTCAAGTATGTGTTGCAGAGTTGTGGCACATTCGCCCTTGGCTTTCATCAGTACCAACGAATCATCTGCAAACAACAAATGGTTGAGACTTGGGGCAGCACTACATAACTGTATACCCTTCAGACTACCATCCGCATCGGCTTTATTCAACAGCGAGGAAAACCCTTCAGCACACAACAGAAATAGGTATGGGGCCCTGCCTTAATCCTCTCTCTGGGATGATCACATCAGTATAGGACCCATTCACTTTTACCTTATACGCCACTGATGAAATGCACAACATGATCCTCTCGATCCATCTTTTATCAAAACCCATTTTTCCATCATTTTTTCCAAGAACCTCCACTCCACCCGGTCGTAGGCCTTACTCATATCAAGCTTGACTGCTGCATACCCTTCCTTCCCAGTTCGCTTGTTTTGCATATAATGTGTGCACTCATAAGCAAGCAGGATATTATCCGTGATGAGCCGTCCTGGTACTCCTCCTGAACCATTGCGTCTAGTATCACGCCTCGGCGGCATCTGGTGGGCAAGAATAGATGAGTTATAGATATAATAGGGCCAAAGACTATGTATCTCTACTCTTATAAAAAACAGAGTTGGTGATGATGGTGTGCCTGCCATCCTGCAATATAGGCCGTCCGATTTATATCTGACGGATAGGAAGGAAACTATGGCAATTTTGCAAAAAGATACCCACACCCCTCTCTATATTTGCAAATAAGGCCTTTCCTTGTTCATCCTTTTCTCTCACAAGATAAACTACTCATATAAATGCACCTTGATGTTCCGTGCAAGGCATGGGCATCTTGCTAGTATATAAATATATTCTACTCATATGCATAATATGATGAAGGCAATAAAACACAACAACGAATAACACCAACAAACAAACAACAAACAATATAATAATATTATATATATATATATATATATATATATATATAATTTCGACACTAAGCAATTTAACAAACAACTACCAATCAAGCAAACAATCTAGTATCTTCATACCACGAAAGTGGGCATAATCAGATACGCTAACACGATAACATTGCAATATAAAACAAGCATGAATGGTGGTCTCAGCACTAGTTCCTACTTAACTGTTCAAGATACTTCAGGGGTTAACTAATAAACAGCAAGAAGTATAGCTAGTTTTATAAAATAATTTTCACTCCTATGGCTTTTCTAATCCATTTTCTAGGGTCACGTCCTACAATCAACACACTGCTCTGATACCATTTGTAACGACCAAACCTCGAAGGATTTGAGTCTCTGTGCTTACCGCTTCACGGTTAGGTGGGCCGCAGCGGTGGGAGCTGGGCCGCGGGGTTGGCTGCTGGGCCGCGCAGTGCTCTGCGCTGCGCGCTGGCTGGCTGGTGTTTTTTTTTAAAATAAAGACAGCAGCAGAACAAAAAAATATACACAATATAAATTCTAAATAAAAATACCTAGACACACAGTCAAAATAGCCCTACAGCTATAAACTACAGGAACACTAGTTCCTCACCTAATGCAAATTTTCAAAAGTCATTTTATGCATTAGGCCACACAAAACAATAACAAAACACTCAAATAAAATATTCTGAATAAAGAAAAATACCAGAACTTATCAAATGAACTGGAAATAATATTCTGCACATTATGAACATTTTTAATAACAGGGGAGAAGTCATGTTATCTCCGCTTCAATAAATTGCCTTTAGTTGCATAATGATTTGAATATTTCAGAAAAAGCAAATAATGCATGGAAAAAATATGAGATGCATATGAATGATCTATTAACACCCTAATTTAGGAAAATTGGGATGTTACACATACTTACAAACATGCGTTTCGCAGAGGGACTCCAACACTTATACCCCTGCTGACTAGAGGAATAACCCATAAAAACACATTTCATTGCCTGTGGGCCCAATTTCCCAACAGATGGTCTATCATCCCGAACAAAACAAGTACTGCCAAATAACTTCTGGAGGGACGGCAAACTTATTTTTTACAAACAACTCACTTGGGGATTTCATACCTAGTATCCTGGAAGGTGTCCGGTTGATCGAGTATGTGGGTGGCATGACTCCTTCACTCCACAAGAACTCGGGCACATTCATCGTGTACATGAGCGAGCGAGCTACTTACAAAACATGAAGATTCTTTCGCTCTGCCACACCGTTTTGGGGAGGGGGTATCAGGACACCATGTTTCATGAAGAATACCTTGGTCAGACAAGAAGCGCCCAAAGGTGTTGTTCACATACTCCATGCCATATTCAATCTTGATCACCTGCATGTGAAACTGATTTTTCACATCGGCGTGGAAGTTCTAAAAACAGCTAAGCACCTCATCCTTGTGACACATCAAATAAATCCAAGTCATAACAGTCGATAAAGGTAACAAAATATTTCATTCCATTCACCGACACCAGACATCCGAATGAATAAGCATAAATCTCGTGTGTTTAGCATATTCGCAAGTGTCACATGTCAACTTGCCTTGCCTATTCCACACATAACATCTGGAAATATTCTACTCATCTTATCAAAGATACATCTCCCATCCTACAGTGATGGATCATCGTCTGCTTCTCCTTGTCCTCCATGGTCGCAACACACACCAAGCTGCACCCCCTGGTCCACACACCAGAGCCCCCTATGCCTGGTGCCGGTCTCAGCCGTCTGGCTCATCTGGCCGTCCTGAATCAAACAACCGAACTTGTCTAGAGTCACACAACAGTCTATTTGATCAATCAGAGCCCTCGAAGAGACCAAATAGACAGGAAAAGCTGACACACGTAAAATCGAGGATAAGGAGATGGTCGAAGTGCACTTTACTGCGTCAACCCCTACGACCAGGCTATTTTGTACCATCGGCAATTTGTGTAGTGCCCTTGTGAGTAGGAGGCTGCTTATTGTAAGACTCAAACACACATAATTTATCCGCAACATGCTTAGATGCTCCAGAGTCTAGAACCCATTTTGAATCATTCTCACTAGTAGCAAGAGATGCCTTTTCAGGATTACCGTCATTAGTGGAGGCCCAGTGAGCAAAGTCTCCATAGGCCAATTGTCCTCTTCAACTGCCACGTGTGCCCTCCGACCCCTGAGTTTCCCGAGTATCCACCTCTGCCCATAGTAGTCTGATCCCTTGAGTTCCCCGAGTATCCACCTCCACCTCTAGCAGTCCTGCCTCTGCCACTCCCCCCTCTGATTCCCTGCCTCTGCCACAAGTTGGACAGTCCCCACTTCAGGTGACCTACTTCCCCACAGGTGCGCTTAGTGACTCCAAATGCCAAATCCGGCACAACCTCCAAGTTTGCTTGCTCAAGAGATAGCCACGCCTCCTCTTGAGTCATCGCTGCAATAGCCTCATCAATAGTAGGCAAGAGAGTTTGGTGCAGCAGGGATGCCTTCCTGCCATCAAAGCAACCTTTGAGCCCCTCCAAAAGTTCCACCACACGCCTGCATGCCATTCACTTGTGCCCTGACTCGATGCAAGCCGCATCAGAGTTCCAGAGGATCACAGTTATCCTGGTCTGCTTACAAAGCCTGCAGCTCTGCCACATATGATATCACTGACATGTCACCTAGGCGCAACCGACTAGTCTTCCCATCAATCTGAGCAATGAGCATGACATTGCCCTTGCCAGAGTACTGGGTGGACAGAGTCTTCCGTATGAGAGCGTCCAATGGAGGGCACCATCGAGTTCAACGACCACCCAATAAGCATAGAGTTGATGACCTTCCACCTCTTTCCCTCCGCACTAGTCTTGTCTCCTGGTTCTTCAACAGTAATAACAAGTGCCCATCAAGCTCCTTCTGCTCCACAACCAGCAATGCCCTCCGAGCCCAGCTCAGATAATTGGTAGTCACCTCAGGCTTGATGTCCGTGGGCGACAACTCAGATCTTCTGAGCCGCTTCCTGTCGAGGAATGATGGTACCAGAGTTCGAGCCCGCGAGGAACAGAGTGGGCTTCTCGACAGACTCAGCAAGGCCTTTTGGTTCACCCATTTTCCTGACCAGCTACACACAGCAGCAGCAACGCCTCCACAGTAGTTCCAGCAGCAGCCTCAGTGCTTCCTCCTCTCCCCTTGCAATCAGTAGCAGTAGAAGCAAATCAGCAGCACCACATCACTTCAGCACTTCTCCTTCCTCTTGCGCAGCAGCTAATCAGGACGCCTCAGGCAAAGCTGGGGCTTCAGGCGGGAAACAGATTATGGGCGGGAAGAAAAGGGCAGGAACCAGAATTCTGGGCGCCAACAGTTACGAGCAGGGGGAGAGAGATCGAACTAGTTCCAGTTTTTCCCCAACCCCACCTTTGGCGTGAGCTTCCCCCCCTCTTCCTCAGTCCTCTCCGGCAGCTTCCCCCTTCCTTTCAGGCAGATCCTCCCCCTCCTCTCCGGCAGATCTCCTCCTCTTCTCTGTTATGTAGCATGCTAGTTGTCCAGCTATGCTCCTCTGCTTGTGCCTGCTATGTTACGCAGCTAGCCAACTATGCTCCTTTGCTTAGTGCTCTGCTCAGTCCCTCACAACTAGCAGCAACTGCAAGGTGTGTATGCCTAGTTGCTACCAAATTCTACTCTATTCTGCTGCTGCGTCCGCCTTGCCTTATGCCTTAGCGCTTAGGCGGTGAGGCGCCCTCAGCGCCTTGCCTCGCCTTACTGCCTTAAAAACATTGGCGTGTCCTCAGGCCCCGCTGTCGCCGGCATCTGATACCATGTTGAGTCGAGGGAGAGACGTACCCGTGGCTCTGCATATGGCGGCTCGGGGTGAATCGTTGTGTGTGGCGGCTCAGGGAGAAGTGATGAACTGGTGGATTTTTGCTCTTTTTATGTCTTTTTAATTTCTTGCAGTCCATAGAGTTTCTAGCTCTTATTATTGCTCTCACCAAAATATTTTCAAATTGAAGGTACTTCTTTTAAATGGATCACATGATAGAGAAACTATTGGGCTGTCTGCTTCTGGCTTTGTGACTGCAATTACGGATTCTCTAAATCGGACATATGGTGATCCTGACAAAAGTCTAAAGTATCATGTAAGTTTGTGACAATGCTTTTAAAAATAATTCATCGTATGATGATTGTAATTGAGCGTAATGCTATTTGATACGTAGTTATTGAGCATGCAAGCATTCTGTTCTGAATGTGGATATTAATTCTTAATGCTAGTGGATAATATTTCCCTGCATAATTTTTTTATTGTTATGTGCAGCCCAAAGACTATGTTAATGCCATATTGGTTCCTGAAGGAGGCCAAATTCCTTTAGATGTTGAAAATTTGGCATCTAAAGGAATTTTTCATGTGGTATGTAGTTCTATTCTATTGGCTGCAATGGTGCTTATTGATTTTTTTACAGAATTACCATGCTTAGTAGGATTTCTCCCCTATTTGCGTTCTAAATTAACAACCTTGTGAATGAAGGCACCAACTAGTTAGAGCATCTACAGCCGGGCGCCCCAAACCCGCCTCAAACGCCCGGGCGGACGGCCCGGTCAGTGACCGGTCACAAAAATGCGACCCAGATGGGCTCCTTAAACGGGCCTCAAACGCCCGGGCTGACCGGCACCCCTCAGATCCAGCCCAAATATGGGGCGGATATGGGGGCGCCCGAGTGCGCCCGGGCGCGTCCGCCACGTCGGACCCGACAGCCCTACCCCACCATAATTTGCACCAAATCCACCAAACCTTTCCTCCTTCTGCCTCCCTCCTACCTTTCCCGCACCCACACCCTCGCTGTCCGCCACCCTTGCTCCCCATCCTCACCGCCGGTCCCGATTCGCCGCCTAAGATGTCGTCCAACCCATCCCAGATCGCCGTGACAGAGACTGCGTTCGCCTTGTCCGTCGGCGTCCCGTCCTCGGCTTCATCTTGCAAGCCGGAGAACATCGCCCGGAAGATGCGGCGACGCCTGTAGCGAGAGAGGGAAGTGGCGGCGGCGGCGTAGGGAGATGCGGACATGGACGAGCAGCCGTCGCCTCCGCCGCGCCCGGAACCCAGCACCCCATCCATCCATCCGCCAACGCGGATTGCGTTGTCAGACCACGTTGGGACAGAGGAGGATCTGACAGCTGGTTGGGGCATTCCGGAGAGCTTTCTGCCCAGGCAGATGCTGGCGGTGGACGTAATCACTCGCCGCAGCTCGTTCGGGCTCAGATGAGCACGGGAACCGGCGGCTCCCGGGCTGCCCACAACCTGTTTGACGGAATGACACAACAAGAGTCGGTATGTTTTTGTTGCTCCTGTCCGATCAACTTTGCATATGGCATGTTCAGTGTTTTGCGTAGACCGCTAGTTCATTTCAGACATGATGAATGCTTGCAAACCATGATCATTTAGGAGGTGTTCCTGTCGGACATGATCAATGACAATCAAGGTCTGATTCAAATGGAGTACGAATTGGGGGGCACCGCATTTGAAATTGGGACAACATCTGATCCCAATCCGAGCAAGAAGAAGAAGGGAAAGACGACGAAGACAAGAGGTCCGGCATTCTCAACTTTTGAGGACATCTTGTTGGTCAAAGCTTGGTTGGCCACAACAATGGATCCAATTTGCGGCACTGAGCGAATAGGGAACAAGTATTGGGAGAAGATTTAGATGGAGTATCACGAACAAAAGGAATATGGGGAGCCGCATCCTATCGTGACCAACTGCAATGTGGCATCTCTCCAACATCGATGGGGGATCATTCAAGGGGAAGTGAACAAGTACGTCGACTACTACTCACAAGTAACCAAACGCCCTCAAAGTGGGACGGGAGTGGCAACTCACGCAAGCTTAATTGCTTCATTTCGTCATCATTTGCATATGCTTGCATTCTTGTGCTCATACATATGTTTGATAGACGGTGGTGGCGGCCACTTTGTATCACGAAACGGAGAAGCCGTTTGCTTTTAGCCATTGTTGGATCATATCGAATGGAGTGCCAAAGTGGACACAACTTGTGGCCGATCTCAAGGCCGGCAAGAAGAGGAATGATGGCTCAAGCTCCCACCAATCTATTGGGTTGGACGATGAAGAGGACGATATTGTTGTCGAGAATGGGAGAGCCATCGTGCCAAAGGATAAGCAACAAGTCACGGGAAACAAGTGGGAGAAGGCAAGGTCCTCCTGTGACGCCGCGGCTACAAAAATGTCCTCCACATGGGCCGGCATTTTTTCGGCGAGGGAGAACAAGAAAGAGGAGAGGTAGAAGCTCATGTTGGATGCGCAAAAGGAGAAGATGGATGGGGACCGGAAGAGGGTGGAGAAGAAGCTGGAAATTGAGAGGGAGAAGATCGAGTTGGAGAAGTAAGAAGCGGCGATCAAATGGGAGCTCGAGAAGGCTAAGAAATTTGTTGAGATTGAGCTTGAGAAGGAGAGGTTGCAACTTGCATGGGACGCGGAGGATGCGAAGATCATGTTGGCAGACGAAACCCTCTTGGATGAGCATGTAAAGAAGTGGCTTGCGGAGAAGGAGTTCAATGAGCATAAGGAGTACGAAGCGGCGAGGGTGGCTGCCGAGAAGGAGTTCAACGAGCACTAGTTTTTAATTTGTTTCCATGCTGCTTGGGATTTTCATCGCACAATCCAGTTGCACCTATAGATCTTCATCCCCATTATGTAAAACAGAATCTAGATCAGATTATAAGTTCATTATTGCTTCAATAATGGTAATTGATGCAGATTTTACACTGTTTCCCACTTTGGAACCTGTTGGTACACTAGTTTTTAATTTGTTTCCATGCTGCTTGGGATTTTCATCGCACAATCCAGTTGCACCTATAGATCTTCATCCCCATTATGTAAAACAGAATCTAGATCAGATTATAAGTTCATTGTTGCTTAAATAATGGTAATTGATGCAGATTTTACACTGTTTCATGTTGCAGCTTTTTTAGATAAACCTGGTTAAACAAGCTTACTTTAGAATCACAACATTACAAACTTTTATGCCATAAAAACTGTCATAGTCCCCTTAGACCTTACCGTAATCATGACTGATGTTGATGCCTAATTCTCTACTTGCTGCTTTGTCTTGGATCCTTGACCTGTATGGCATTGGTCACAAGCTTCTGTAGTCACTACGCTTTTACTAAAATCAGTCATTTCGCTGTCGTATGTTGCAGTTAACCGTGAAATCTGTACGCGACACGAAGGTGGGTGTCATATTTGATCCGCAGTCTTTAATCCAAGCTCTGACCGGTCTGATATCCGAGCACATGGATGCATGCCTCGCGGAACCTGACCCTCTAACTGAAAACGTGACGTCTGTATGCTGAATCTCTGAAGGATGCACTTTCAGGTACATAGTATGCCAGTCCTATTCTTATCATGTTAGTGGTCCTACTTCAGATAGTGCTGCAGGTTTGCACCAAAATGACACGGTTGAAAGGAAAACCTAAAATGTATAACAGTAGGTTTTAGTCTCCCTCTCGAAAGAACTGTCATTCATTTCAGTTCTGGTGAATAGCGATGCTTCCAGACGATTCCAGTGCCTGCTTCGGTTGCCAGTTCTACTTCCTATTTGGCACTACTGTGGGAAAGCCAATAGGGCAAGCTGATTAAAACATCTAAATATGTGACACTTACGACAGTCTCAGTGCATTTGTATCTAATTAAGTTATAGCTAGGTACTGTATAACTGTCCTAGTGGCTTGTATCTTTGTGTTGTATCTAAAATTGTTGAATTGAGCATGTCGTTTATGATCTACTTGGCATTTTAACCACGTGGCCTTTTTGTGGCATGTGACAAGCATTTCATGTTGGGAGAAGCTTGCATGAAAAAAGAAAGAGGCTAGCACATGCAAAGTGGATAAATGCATGAACATATATACATGGAATTGGGTTGATAGCCGTTGCCACCGTGTAAAAGGCAGTAAGTACATAAAAAGTCAGTTATCCGAATAATCATTCTTGTGCACGACACTCAGTGGGCACGGAATCTGGGCCGCTGGTCTGCATCCCATTCACTAAGGTGTATAATCTGCGACACCCTATTTGGCGCTGTATTGCTGTAACCTGTGGTTCCCTCTGGTTCATGCAAAGCTTCTATAAGCTTTTGGCCGGTTTTATCTTTGTTTTTTCCAGGTTTTTGTACTGTTTTTCATTATTATATTTTTGGTTTTCAAATTTCATTTTTTTCAAATTCATTGACTTTTTTTAAAATCGTAACAATTTTCAAAATCACAAACCTTTTCATTTTTGTGATTTTTTTTCAAATTCGTGATCTTTTTTTGAATACATGAACATTTTTGCATTTTGTTAATTATTTCAAATTCATGAACTTTTTGTGAATTTTGTGAACAATTTTCGAATTTGTGAACTTTTCAAATTTGTGTCATTTTAAAAATTCCTGAACCTTTTGCATTTTCATGAATCTTTGAATTCCATGAACAATTTTCAAATTCGCAAACTTTTTCAAAATAAAAAAAGCGATCCTTTTTTACCTAGACGGCAGACCAACCCTGTAGGAAAATTTGAGCCAAAAAAACTACCTGAGCAAGCGGGCGAGCGAGTGTGGAGGAGGAGCGATCGATTATTATTGTGCGGACCCATGCAGACAAAGTGTGAGCGCTGTTACGCGAAGTAGCCCATTAAGCGTTGTAGAGGCGTTCTCCTATAGTCTTGTGTATAAACCGTTCCCAGCCAATGGTGCCCAATTATATTGGCTCGATCTAACTCCCGGCCTGGCCCACAATCCTTTTTTTAACGTGGGCACTTTATTGATCAATTGACAACATTATAAAGAAAATCCTTTTCTGAGCCCGGGCTCATCTGCACCTGCGTTGAATAAAAAATCAAAATAAAAACTAGAAAAATTCAAAAAAATCTATTTTTTTCCCATGGTGAAAAAATTTGATGCGTGAGGTCCGCTCCAATTTTCAAATCATTTGAGCAACTGAGCAACTCTCAGCAAAAAAAAACAAATTCGGATTTGTAAAACAGTTTATTGTTCATGTATTGTTTTGACCCGATTTGTCTTTTTTGCTGAGAGTTAGTCAGATGTCTAAATGAGCTAAAATTTGGGAGAAAATTCCTTATTTGACAGTCTTAAAATCCGGTTCCTTATTTGACATTGGAAAAGTTTTTCTTCCTTATTTAACACTAATCCTAAATTTTATTCCCTATACGACACTTCCGTCCATTTTGAGCTTAAATGACACCTGAAAAGACGATTTTGCCCCTCATGCGGTATTTGTGCGCGCGCGCGTGTTGTTGCGTGTGTGGGTGCACGCGCACATGTGTGCTGCCGCTGCATGTGTGTGTGCATGTGTGCTGCAGTGTGTGTACGTGCGCGTGTGTGCTGTTGCGTGCCTATGTGTTGTCTGCGTGTGTGCGCGTGCATGTGTGTGTGTGTGTGCACGTGCGCGTGCGTGTTGTTGCGTGTGTGTGCGCGTGCGTGTGTGTTGGTGCATGTGTATGTGTTGCTGCGTGTGTTCTCCTGCCCTCACATTGATGCTGTGTGTGTGCGCTATTGCCCTCCACACACATACCACATGAGGGGCAAAAGAGTCTTTTCAGGTGTCATTTAGGCTCAAAATGAATGAAAATGTCATATAAGGAATAAAATTTAGAACTTGTGTCAAATAGGGAAAAAAATTCCAGTGTCAAATAAGAAAGCAGATTTTAAGATAATGTCAAATAAGGAATTTTCTTAAAATTTAGAGTGAGCCCCACGCAATAAATTGTCTACCATGGGAAAAAATTAGAATTTTTCTAGTTTTTTTGTGAATTTTTTTCTTGACGGGTCGCGGGCACCGAATCGCTATTCTCCAGAATGAAAAACACATATACTAATAGAATATGCTTGAAGACCATTGAGGTGAAGACGCCAGTTGCAACAACCGAGCCAATGAGGATCCATCTTGGATTGGAGAGTTCAATCGTTGCACTAATGATAAGCAATCCATGGTGAAGATAACATAAAAAAATTGTTCATCACACTCCAGAAAGACAACTCTTCAAATGGCCAATGCGTCCATCATTTCAGGTTCCAAAACACCCAGAATAGGTTCACTACAGGCAGCCACACAACGGCCGTCGTGGTCCCTGTCAATGACCTCAACACGTGAGCGACTAAGATCCAAAAAGATCAAATTACGCATAGTACTACAGCAGGATGGTAGAGATGCTGCGGAATCATATAAACATAAGCTTCGATCTTCTTCACTGTACATCGAGGATGAGGAGCATCCGAATTTTTCTTGGCATAAGTGCATGCCTCCCAGATATGCAAAAATGTCACCATAAGAACAGTGGCCTTCTGACCTGAGAATCTGGACAGAAAATCGCATAGCCAAAGTTTAGGAGACAAAAAGTTACAACGCCGCAAACTGATGTTGAAGACATTTTTATCATCTCCAAACTTTTCTCGCATATGGGCTCTACATATTCTAGCCTTGCACAGAAACAACAAAAATCTTATAAATAACCAAGGTATGTGTCATTGGAAGATTCGTTTGATATTCCCAATCTGGTTTTAACCCTCTAATTGACACCTTCCAGACAACCACGACCAAAGAACAATAAGGTTTTGTCTTTATTGACCAACTGACCAGACCCATTACAATAAAGGTTTAGGGTAGATTCCAAAGCATCCACACTACACATGTCACTTCTTGCAAAGAAGATGCCAGGAAAAAGGAGATGTGAGATGGGTGGACCAGAGCGACCATTCCTAATACCAGTAACTAGCGGCAATTCTCCTTCTGAACTAATAGACTTGACATGCCTTAAGTACACAAAAGAAACATGTAGGGGCTGATTGGGTCTCCTTAACGAATCGCTCTCAAGAGGACAACCAGAGCAGTAAGCTCACCATTGAATCTGATAGCATATCTGACATTGGTCATACACCTCATCACCGAGCTGATCCATATCAGAGCAAAGACAAGCTTGGAGAGGCAGCCATGAAGATAACTCCACTCATATGCCTTCATCATACAAATATTCATGGCAAAGAAAAATTGTCTTGCTTGTTGACATCTTATAGTATGTAGGGAGTCGTAAGCAATCAGGGCATTATCGTGCTCAATCCGCCAGGCAAAAAAGCACTTTGAAACTCTTAGATGACAACATGCAAAAGCAACTTCAGACACTTAACCAAAACTTTGGAGGCAGTTTTGTAAAGCACGTTGCATATACTTATATAGGTCTAAAATTTCAAATGCTTCGGTCGTGCAACTTTAGGAATTAACACAATAAAAGAGTCACGGAAACCTTCAAGGATAAGCACAATTGTGACTTGCTACCTCTTGAGTTTGCGTTGGTTTTCCCTTGAAGAAAAACGGGTGATGCAGCAAAGTAGCGTAAGTATTTTCTCAGTTTTGAGAACCAATGTATCAATCTAGGAGGAGACTACGCAACAAGTCACCGAATACCTGCGCAAACAAACACCAACTTGGAACCAACATGATAAAGGGGTTGTCAATCCCTTCACGATTATTCGTAAAGTGAGATCTGATAGAGATGGATAAACGGTAAAGTAATATTTTTGGTTTATGGAACGGAAAGTAAAAGATTGCAAAATAAAGGAGCGGAGACAAAAATTGGCAAGTGGACGGGAAAGTAATATGATGTAAAATAGACCCGGGGACCATATGTTTCACTAGAGGCTTCAATCAAGATAGAAATTATTACGACGGGTGAACAAATTACTGTCGAGCAATTGATAGATATCTAAGGCAATGATCATGAATATAGGCATCACGTCCGTGTCAAGTAGACCGAAATGATTCTGCATCTACTACTTTTACTCCACACATCAACCGCTATCCAGTATGCATCTAGAGTATTAAGTTCATATTGAACGGAGTAATGCCTTAAGAAAGATGACATGACATAGAGGAAATAACTCAAGCAATATGATGAAAACCCCATCTTTTTATCCTCGATGGCAATAATACAATACGTGCCTTGCTGCCCCTACTGTCACTGGGAAAGTACACCGCAAGATTGAACCCAAAGCTAAGCACTTCTCCCATTGCAAGAAAAACCAATCTAGTTGGCCAAACCAAATCGATAGTTCGAAGAGACTTGCAGAGATATCAAATCACGCATATAAGAATTTAGAGGAGATTCAAATAATATTCATAGATAAGCTGATCATAAATTCACAATTCATCGGATCTCGGCAAACACACCGCAAAAGAGTATTACATCGAATAGATCTCTAAGAACATCGAGGAGAATTTTTTATTGAGAATCAAAGAAAGAGAAGAAGCCATCTAGCTACTAGCTATGGACCCGTAGGTCTGAAGTAAACTACTCACACTTCATT